CCTGTCTATAGCTGTGGCAATGGGTTTAACCCATTGGGGACTGGATAGCCAACCTTCTATCTTTTGGTGGAGAACACTCTATGGAAGGCTTTTGATACTTGTCTTTTTAATATGGAAGCTCAATCCATATGTCAGTTTGCCCCTTTGCCTCCACTTTTTGAAAATATTTTCTGTATCCTGTGCAGTTCATTCCACTGAGGGAAACCCCATTCCCATCATCTGTGTGGAACATGGGTGAGAACTGCATGTAACTTTACACTAATTAAAATTTAAATCCCTGCACCCTATGAATATCTAGAACCCCACAACTATTATCAGTTATTTTAGCTCTACTGGGTAAATAATAATAATAATGTATTCCTCTATAAAGCTCTGTTTCAAGGTTGGTACTTTTTTTTAATATTGTAGTTTGACACAGTACCTTTATTTTATTTAATAAATAAATTATTTATTTTTATGTGGTGCTGATGATCAATTCCAGGGTCTTGCATGTGCTAGGCAACCTCTACCACTGAGCCACAACTCCAGCCCACAAGGTGGTACATATTAGAACCTTGCTGGAAATGCTTATAAAAAAATCTAATATTTCTTCAGCTCTGTACATTCTATGATTTTTTTAAGGATTCACTTAGTTTTTACTCCTATCCTCAATTAATCCTCATGAAAATACTACAGAGTATGTACTATAATTATTCCCATTTTATTGATGCAGCATTTAAGATGGACAGACGGTATGATTAATCGTGAATTTCACTGAGAAATGACAGATGAGATTCAAACCCAGGTAGCCTCACCTAAAACCTACACTTCTCATCACTACAGTATATCTCCTCTTCATGAAAAGATCTAAATTCTTATATATAAATAAACTAAGCCAAAATGTTACACATGCAAGTCACCAGTTCCACATTACAATTCAAACAAACCTCAATCATTCCATGGTCTGACTCTTACTGTGATTTAAAACTAAAACCACTCTTACTTTTCAAATTACAGACACTTATAATAGGAGATTGAATCCCCAAACATTCTCATATTAAAAATGTTTTCTAGGGATGGTGTTGTGGCTCAGTGGTAAAGTGTTTGCCTAGCATGTGTGAGGCACTGGGTTCAATCATAATAACATTTAAAAACAATTAAAAAAATGTTTTTATCTGCCACTAAATTCTTGTTATAAAAATGCATAAAATCAATCTTTATCTGCCAAGGGGTTCCAAATCAACAAACTGAGTATATAAAAACTTACATATATTTCCTAGATTTTCCAGTACAGGAAGCAGAAATTTGTGAAGAATGGACTATCTCCGTGGTGTTTTCTTTCCAGAACTTGCAGCATAAGGTGTGGGGAAAAACATATTTGAACTTTGACTGTATCCTGAAAGCTTTTATTTTATCAAAAAAAAAAAACCAAAAAACAAAAAACAAAAACAGAAACCAATGCATGAGACAGGGAAGATGAACTGGAGAAGGAGAAAGAAGGAAATCTAAACTATTAGATTTCTTCTCAGCAGCTGCTTGTAAGTCCTGAACACTCTACAGCCACTTTTAGAGGCATGTGGCCTGAGAGGTTTGTGATGCCCACATTTTTGATGCTGCCTTGGTGTTCCATAGGATGTGAAAGACCCTAAGGAATATAGCTTTAGAAAACAAAATTCATTGCACTTTCTTCTACTCCTTGGACAGCCAGATCCCCATTTTAGGCTCTATTATGAGCAACAACTCCATTGATAAAAATGTCTTGATCATTGCCCTAGGTTGGAAAGAGAGATAAAGGCACAGTCAGCTCACCAGGGATTGGTACCAAAAGCACTCCCTTGGATGAAGAATGGTAGACTCCTTAATCATTTCACTGACTTAACAGAAACACTAGTTCACAGCCACACACATACATAAGGGAAATTTGGTCTCTTTCATTCTTCCAGAAACTCATACTAGTTGTCCTTTTTCAGAGGATAAGAAGTCAAATGTTAATTTCTCTTATAGAAGGTGAGGGCAGAAGAGTCACCACTCAATTTTTTCTATGAATCACTCTATACAGATAAAACTCAATACTAAAAGGGCAAAAGGTGATTACTATGAAATTTTGTAGTTATCTAAAATTAACATTTCAAAATCACCATGCAAAATGGGTAGATTTTAGTTGCTCTGCAATTTATAGTTTCCAATTATAAAACCAAAAGATATTTCTTTAAACAGATTTTTCTGCTCCATTTAAATCTAGCTAGAGGTTGGCAACTATGGCCTATGATCTGCCAAGCCTGAGCCTACCCTACTCCTTGAGCAAAAGCTATCATGTTAGCGACAAGAAATTATTGCAGCTGACCTCATGATGAGCTTCACCAAAAATAAACAGACACAGGGAAATAGAGAGTGACTGTTGCCCATCACCATCTTGCTGCCTTCTGCAATATACAAAGTGACATGATCCTGTAGTCCTCTCTGAAAGAAGAAACCTATTCTCTTGTGTCAAAACATAGGCAATGAAATGCCTCTTTCATAAGCAGCTTATAGTTACCCCATGGCAGCTCAGAAGAGGTAAATGCTAGGATGATGTCATTTTCCTATCCCAAGAAACCAAGGAAAGAAGAGCTGAGTTGAACCTCAGGCAACACACAAACCTCCAGCTAATCCACACTACTTAATTCATTCAGAAGCTTGCATTTATTGCCAAATGTCTTATTCTAAATAAGATACTAAACTTTGGAACTATTCAACTATTTATCCCTCTTAACTAGCTCTTAAGGCCAAAGAGTACACATTTTTATCTTGATGCCAGAAGACTTTCCTACCTATCAATATATATATATAAAAGAAAAAGAAATGTGAATAATGAGCATCCACAAAGGAAATATAAAGGGATCTGGGTTAATCTAAATACTCAGGAAAAAAGGATGAAGGAGGACAATCTAAGTATACCATGATGGCCAGAGGATTCTCCATTGATAGAAGAGCTATTTCCCTATGGACCAGAAATGAATTCCACAGCTGCATAAAGGGTGCCTCCCATAACAGACACAGAAAAAAAATTCAGTTTCCTGAACCAATATAATTCAGAATAGACACTGTATTTTAAGAAATTCTAAAAAAAGAGGATAGAGTTTTTCATCTATTTCATTTTTCTTTTTTGATTTTATGCCCAAATAGAATAAAAAGATATCTCAATGATATCATTTTATCTTGGTTTGCTTGAAAGTCACATGATTTTATTCACATACTGTATTTTACTTTTATTAAATATCCCCAAGAGACTAGCAGGGACACATATATTCATCTCATGTATTTAGGATTTGTCAAAAGAAAATGAAAACTGATTTTTTTTTATCAGTGGAAATTACAATGAGCCTAAGTCAAGTTCCCTCAAAACAAAATAGTATTTGATACTTGAAGATCAATTCACTCTTCTTAAAACTACTATGTAGATACTCTGGCATAGCAAAACTATCAATTTGAAATTAGATAATTTCATAACCATTTGGAGTAAGAATTTATCTAAATAGTTTAATCAAGTCTCTATTTTCTTCCAAAACCTTGAAGTTTTAAGTTGTAATAAATCAATAATAGTTAGTTAACCCCTTCATTTTACAAATAATGAATGTGCTCCCCTGGAGTAATAAAGCCCAAACTCACTGGTGACAGCCCCTGTATTTGGTGGTAGCTAAAGGGCAGGTATTTCTAAGGGGTATGGGTACAGCTTAGACACATAAGATAAGATGCCTACAGTTTAGCCTGCAAGAACCTTCAAGGACTGCAAGAGAGCTATCAGGGTGCAGGAAGAAAGGAAGAGGGGCAGGCCAGAGGTAGACCTCCTTTGAATTTCAGCATGGAGCTCCAAGAAATCTGAAAGTTCTACTTTGGAACAAAACACAGAGCCACTGAGATAAATTCAGTAAGGAATACACTTTGTCATGGAATACATCTTATTTAACCATTTGCTTGCTTGATTTATAACTTTCCAATATTTAATATAAGATATACATGTCTCCTTTTATACTTTTTTCTTAAGCCCCTCATCTGATGGGTAGTAACCTAATTTAACTTAAGGAAATTCAAGACTTTACACTCAGGAAGAAAAGAAAACTGCTATAGTTTCTCTTATGACTCCAACCAATGAGCAAAAAATTCAGTGTACACTGATGAGGTTTAAAATCAGTTTATAGGTGCCTCTCAGGATGAACTCCTTACTGTACTGAATGTGATTCTTATGCTTTAAAATCCATGTTTTCACACATGAGGAATCCTAATGTAACCAAGTTCCTCCAACTAGTATGCCAATGAAGAAAATAATTCTTTCTAATGTAGAGAAAATAGTAGTTATCCAGAACTTATTGAGAGATGGCTTATCCATCTTCAGGATGGCCCCTTCCAAAGAAATGCCCATGGGTAATTTTTGTGACTCCTATATATGAGCTTTATCTTATGATCAAACTCTGGAGTGTAATACCCATGTAAACTGCACTTTCACTGTACAATGGAACTTCTCCTGCTGACCCTCAATTATATGACTCAAGTACCATGGTCAGTATATCTACTAGTTCTGTCACAGAGCAGAACAGATTATGATTCAGAATAACCATGGCATTTCAGTGAAATTCTTTTTATCTAATCGATTGAGTAAACCTTGAACTTGAGTGCAAATGTAAATCTGTGGCTTTTAAATGGTCAGGGAAAATGGACTAAGATTATTATAACAAAAAGAATACCCATATCAACTTGTGAAGTATATGACTGGACTTATCTTACTAAATTTGTTACTTAACATAATAAAATACATTAACTGAAACACATGTATTCCATTTCCTCATCTAGAGCTGAAATGGATCCCTATGGTTTCTTTGACTGTGAAAAATCTATAGCTATCCTGCTTATATGATATCCTGGAAAAGTTAGCTCAGGAATTCAAGAACATTGCCTTTCCAGCTTTGCAAGATCAAGCCTTCTCCAGAGTCCTACAGATAATGACATATAAAGTAATCTTACTATAAAAGGACAGAACTTCTTACCTAAAGCACCAAGGGTAAAGGGCCTGGTTACCAAGTGCTACCACCTGCATGGGAAGCGAAGTCATTTATGCTCAGGGGTGTAGCTGGGACCAGTCCTCAGAAGCAGTTCAGCATTTTAGGCCATTGCAGAAAGCTAAGAAAACTTGACAAAAAAAATACATATTAGTTTTAGACAAATGTTCAGATTAGATCATGCAGTAGATTGAAAGTACATAGCTAATTTTTTTGATACATTAACCTAAATACGTGGGGAAAAATCCTTTTAAACTGTAAACCAAAGGTTTCTAATTATACAAACTAGTGGGTAGTCTGCCTAGGGCCAGCTGTTCTCTGCAGCCTTGAAACAAATGCCTTCCCTCTCATTTGGCATGTGATTTCAAGACTGGCAGAAGCAGTTGGTAAACCAAAGGCAAATTTTGCTTATTTAGATTTGAAATAAACTTTTCCCCATCCTCAATTTCATTTGATTACTCTGCTTTTTAGTTAGAATATATAATTTCAGTTTTAGAGCACATCTTAAAAACTAAGTGTGAGGGCTGGAGTTGTGGCTTAGTGGTAGAATGCTTCCCTGGCATATGTAAAGTCCTGGGTGTTATCCTCAGGACCACATATAAATAAATAAAACAGAAAGATCCGTTGACAACTTAAAAAAATAAACACTAAGTATGACACCAAGTTCATTTTAATGTTATTGCCCTTACCAGGGAAGGAATGAAGGCTGCATGATACTTCTTGAAATTAATTCTCAATACACCCTTTAAAACAAAAATAAAATCTGTGAAAATCTAACTACCTATATGTTTTAATTTTTTTGTATGTAATGTAATTCTCCAATAAAAAGTTATTGAATAATTTGTTTTAGAAAACAAGTTAGACGTATAAAAACCATCATTAAAAATATGAAACATGATTTATGTTGATGGAGATAACATCAAAAACCAGGAAAAACTGAAAACTCAGTCTGGTACTTGCTGAGAACAGGAAAAGGTGAGGATCAGTAGAGCTTTGGCAAAGAGTGGGATAGTGGCAACTGTTGGGATTTTTAATGCCCCTATATGTGCTGGTCTTCAAACTTAAAACTTGACCTTAAGAATGAGGTTATTTGGGGTTTATGTCTCACTACATAATAGCTTTTAAAAAATTCTCCCCACTCCAAGAACTTGGAACAATTACTTGTTTCTGTAACAATTTTCAAAGTGATCCAAGTTCATTTCCAACCTGTATACTTAGTCTCAAGAATGAGGTCCCTCTGCAGAGTTGAATGAGTCAATAATTCAAAATGGTCCATAGCCAGCTCTTAAAACAAAAAGAAAATGCTGGCTCCAAGAGCTAGGCCACCCATCAGCATTCATAGTCATGTTAGTGACAAATCAGGGTCCCTTTCATTTATGCTCAGGGGTGTAGCTGGGACCAGTCCTCAGGAGCAGTTCAGCATTTTAGGCCATTGCAGAAAGCTGTAAGCCTCTCCAGTTTCCAGTTACATTTGCACATCACTGGAACATACAGATGGAAGCAGTTATTTTCCTAACTGATAGATTCAAAGGATAACTTGAGAAAGGGTTTCAAACAAAGTTTCCCCCTAAAGTGAATGACTCAAAGAAACATAATCAACAAAATAGGTGATGATATAAAATTAAGCAGAAAATAATTTCTTTCTTTCACTGGTATACCATGTTTAAATTACAAATGCCCATACCACAATATACAATGTCATATCAAACAGACAACTACAAATGATTCTTCAGCCCTTAATTATTTATCAGGGCTTGATACCATATTGTAAAGGAAAATGTACAGATTGCCACAGCGAGGATAAAGTTTACTTTCAGCTGGAGAACCATCAAAGTCTTCAAGGATAGTGTCTGACATGGTCCCTGATGGAAGAGCCAAATTATCAAGTAATTTGCATCTAAATGGATGGAACATGAGAACATTATAATAAGCAAAATAAGCCAAATTCAGAAAGACAGGTACATCTGTTTTATATGTGGAAACTAGAGAGGAAAGAAAGATGAGGTGGATCTCATAAACACGGAAGGGAGACCAGTAAATTAGTAAAAGGTGCCAGGGGAAGGGAAGAGGGACAGTCACTTTCTCTTTGCATTTGGTTTACTTTGTCATTCAGTCAGTTCATATATCACTTAGTGGCCTGTTATCTCTAAAGCTGTCAAATGAAAATGACATCCTCCATTCAGAGGACACTGAATTCTCTATCCAACAAAAATATCCTTCAGGAATAATGCCAAACTGGAAACACCTTCACATTGAGAAGAAAAATCCATCACCAGCAGACATGACTATAAGAAATGCCAAAAGGAGTTTTGTAGACTGAATGGAAATTAAATTAGAGCCAAAATTGGAAATTTCATGTGTTCTTCCATAGTTAGCTATTAATTTACATGCCTTGACAAAACAAGACAGTAAACTAAGAAAGAGAATGATGTAAATATAATTAGAACCAGTACAAAGTAAGTGTAAGGAATTTTCCAAGATGAGAGAAAGGAAACCCCAGGATAGAAAATGTGTATCAAGCATAGAGGGCAACCTGTAGATTAGAGGATAGCATTTGATATTGGAAAAATGCCAAAGGAAAGAATATTATTACTAAGATCACCACACAGAACTGCCATAAAAACAAACATGCAGACACATGGAAAAGAATGAAGATCCCGACATAAATATATTTATGATCTACTGATCTTCAACAAATATGCCAACAGCATACAATAGTGAGAGCACAGTCTCTTCAATAAATGGTGCTAGGAAAACTGGACATCTAAAGGCAAATGTATGAAACTAAGACAATATACAAAAATTATCTCAAAATCATTTAAGACCTAAATAGAAGACGTGAAAGTGCAAAATTATAAGAAGAAGAAAAAGGAATAAAGCTCTATGACACTGATCTGGGCAAACATTTGTTTGGAATATGAATCCCCAAAACACACACACACACACACACACAAAAGGCAAAAACAACAACAACAACACACAAATGATAATGTATCAAACTAACCAGCTCTTCAGCACAGCAAGAGAAACAATCAATGTAATAAACAGAAACATATTAAGAAACTCAAAACAATTCATGAGCAAAAAACCAACCCTCTCTTAGAACAGGCTTGGTATCTGATGGTGTGTCTTTTTTAAAAGCTTTTAATTCTATAAGATGTTTTTCACTGAGCCCTCGTTTAACTGGAAGGAAACAAGACTCCCAAAATCTTATCAGCTACTGAGTTTTATAAATCTTAAATGTAGACTTGGCAAATTCCAAGTACAGAAACAGTGAGGGCCTGGTCAGAGAGGGTGGTGCTGGCCAATCACATAAGCTGAGGCACTCAGGCTCTACAAACTCCTCTGCTTAGAAAAAAGGATCAGGAGGCTGAGCAGGGACCTGCTGGGAGTCACATGGTTTTCAGAAATAGACATCAGAACAAGGACTCAGGCCCAGTCATGGCCCATCACTGATCTGAAGCCTTAGCAATTACAGGCTAAGGTGGCAAAAAACATGCCCTTTCCTATATGCTAGTCCCCAACAAAATGTTCCCACTCCATGAGGCTGCTGAAGGGAAACACAGCTGGATGGAACTGGAGACAAAAGCAAGTAAGAAAGCAAGGCCCCTCCTGCCACTCTCCTCACTGAGAACAAGGGCAATCAAGTTTGCCACAGATGGCCATCACTATGTGGACCTCTCAGGAGCTGTGCTGCCAGAGCCAAGAAAAAGCCTCAGTAAGCATCATACAGATGGGTCTGTATTATTCATGAGCTGAATTTCTGCCCTCCTACAGGCATCAGGGGGATCAGAAATTACCCATTTGGAAGTTCTGCACACATTCAATGTACAAGCATCATCTCCACATGGTGGGGAGTGGAGGGGAGACCTGGGGTTCTTAACGCAGAATCCAAAGCTCTGTGAAGATCAGGCAGAAGTTTCTTCTTTTGCCTGATAACATGGCATCCTTGCTTACTACCCACTTATCCCTAATACTTGCACTTTATCTCCTTCCCAATACTCCCTCAGATCCAAAGACTTCAGCAGCCACAAGCTCTGCATGATGGACCCTGTTCTTTCTTTAACTTCTTTACTCTCCGTCACTCTGCCCTGATTTCGTGGGCCTCTATATTTTTCTCCATCCCCAATTCAAAGACTTTGCATATGGCTTATCCTTCTGCCAGGAACACCCTATGTGCAGATGTCTATATCCTCTCCTCCTTCAGATCTCTGCTCAAATATCATCCCTTCAGACATCAAGCAGACAATATCCACCCTTGTTCTTGATATCAGCTGAAACATCATGAACGATAGCTTTAAGTAAACCCTACCATGCCCATACAATTTCTATAGCTCCCTGCTAATTATTCAGGTAAATTACATAATATGGGCAGGTTTCAGCCTACACAGACTGGGATAAATGTACTTTTCTGCCTCATTTGTTTCTCTGAATGTATTTGACCCCAAGGCATGTTCCTAGTGACCAATACAAAGTCCAAAGTTCTCTCCTGCTGCCCACTATGTGCCAGGACCAGAAGAGCCTGTAAAAGTAGTGCTTCAATTATAACTGCTCCATGGACTAGCTGGGTGATCTCAAATATGGCTAATTAATATCTCTGTGACTTTGGGTCTTCACAAATCAAGTATACAAGATGATGGTTCTCCTCATTGGGCTGTGGTGGGGAGTTAAAGAGACCTGATTTGGGGTCTTCTTGGAACGGAGCCAAGCACCATGTAATGTTTCCATGAGAAGGTAGAAATTAGACACTGCCAACGTCAGCACAGAGTTCATCCTCACCAATGGCCCAAGCCACTTTACAGGTGAGATGCTGAGGCAGCTCAGGAAGTTTGTTCCAGACAACACAGCAAAGCAAACACAGCCCCCACATTTTCTCTGAACCCTAAACATGCATATGAAAAAATTTAGAAGAAGTGAGAATCAGTTATTTAAGAAGAGGATGTGCACTCAAGACTAGCTAGAAGGGGCATGGTGGGTATGGGGTACATTATCATCAGATGACAGCAGAATTTCCAATTTTACCATTGCAGGTTAAGCATCCCTAATCCACAAATCCAAAATTTAAAATTTGTTGATGTCAACTTGATGCCACGGGTGGAAAATTCAACACCTGACCTCATGTGAC